GTTTTAACTTTATAGTATTCTTAGTGGTTTTATGTTCATGTAATTTATATTTTTCAACAATAATTTAATGCATTGTATGGAAAGTAACACGTGCTCTGCATTAACTGTAAATTGCTCTGTTTAATATATTGTGTATTAATGAAAAGGCAAAATAGCAGATTAATTCTTCCCTCCAAGATAGCAGATTAATTCTTTCTACCTCAAATCTTAGTGCACATATTCTTTTTCCTATTTTCTTCTGACTCACAGTAAGAAACACCCAATAATACAATAGAATAAGTGCTTGTGAAAATAGTTACTGTTTTGGCACCTTACTTTTTAAAAATCTTCCTATGAAAATGTTTTCTACAGCAGTAACTAACTACTGCAGCTGTGACCCTGTTGGCTTCTATTTTGTAAAATGATGTTTTGCCCATTTGTGTTTGTTAAGTTGTGACGCGTGAAATCATGCTGCTTGCATGTGTTGTATGTGGAATGATCCACTGAATGCTTAAAGAGCTTAGTGGAAGGGTTGGTTACTTGTTTGTCATTGCATACAACAAGGAGGAATTCCATTTATTTCTGTTATGAAGATGTAAAATCCTATAAGGAATGGCCAGCTCTGTTTAAACTTACCTGAAAGAATAAGAAAAAATTGACTTGGGGAAGTTTGGAGAACAGAAGTATAGTCCATTTTTAAAAGTACAAATTACATCCCTTTACACCTGCAGGATGTTAGCCTGGAATTAGAGTATTCTTTCTGTTTTTTTCCTCCCTTTTTAAGTTGTACCCAGAGTATTAAAATAAGCATTGTGTTTTGCATAAGAGGTCTAGATATGAGTTAGTCCTGGCAGGGCAAGATGTGTTTAAGCTAAGGGGTGAAAGGTCTGTTCCCCTGTACATGAGGCAGCTCACCCCTGCTGGAAATCAGTGTTTCTTTTCCAGTCCTCAGGCAGAAACTTGCTTTTGTTGGTGTGAGCACCGCAAAGGAACTTTTCTGGCACTGACACATCCTGCACCCTTCAGGAATTTTAATAAAGTTAACCACATCACAATACAGAAGTAAGCTGCTGTATTAAAAGACCATCTACTCTCTAGCCAGCTTGCTGTGTTGAACAGAAGCCTGTCATGTACAGGGTAGGATGACAGGAATATCTGCAACTGAGAAAACAATCTACATCAGAGATGCATCCCAGACTGCATCAAGGAAAAAGCCCTTCACATTTTGCTGGAAGCCATCACTCATTTATTACTTTTCTGTTCAAAGCTAGAAATATTTTCAGCCTTTTCTAACTTTTGTTTATGAAGTCTGAAAGAGATTTCTTATCCTGTAACCAGGAGTTCTTTTTCTGCCAGTGGTTAAGTCTTAAGTACATGTTCTGCCCCTTGTTTTGAAGTCAGCTTTGTACAAGTTGGTAATGAAGGTATGGGCATCTAGGAGGGTGATAACTGTTGATTAGATCTCCTGCATGAAATTCCCAGGAATAAAGAGAATTTCAACTGGGAAAATACAGGAGGAGGTGGGATTCCTTCTCTGTTTCCC